CCTGACTGTTCCCTGGAAGGCCAGATACTGAAGCTGAAGCTCAAATACTTTGGCCACCAAATGAGAAGGGGGCATGCACTGGAGAAGACCCTGATGCTGGGAAAGACTGAAGGTCAAAGAAGAAGGGGACAGCAAAGGATGAGATGGTTAGACAGTGTTATCGATGCAACGAACATGAAGTTGAGCAAACTCTGGAGGACGGCGGAAGACAGGAAGGCCTGGCGTGATGTGGTCCATGGGGTCGCGAAGAGTCGGACTCGACTGTGCGACTGAACAACAACAATAGGGTTTGCAAGGCAAGAGACATTCAGACATTCAGAGGTTTTTGCCTGTGCCTGCCCCTGTGTAGCAACCCTGGACTTCTTTGGTGGTCTCCCATCCAAGTAGAAACAAGGGCCAACCCTGCTTAGCATCTGATAGCTGACAGGACTGGGCTATACTGAGCTATTTGGTTCCAGTTAACACCAATGCCAAATTACAAAATCCAGGATTCCTTGCAGGAGCCCACGAGAGGGATAAAGAACGTCGGTAAGTGTGAAGATCGAGAGTGAAATCCATAAACAAAAGCAGAACCCAAAATAACATAAAACAGGATGCAAGCTTCCAAGTTCTTCAGAAGAATAAGCCCTGAAAAACTGGATCTTAGCCTTGACAGACTACTTACGCTAAGTTTCCCACAGGGACTGGCTGCTCAGCTCACACGGCTTAGCATGTAAGAAATGTTCAGGAGGAAGTTTCGTTAACTGGGGAGAGTTGCCTGGTTCTTCCTCCTGGAGAAGAGAAGAGACCTTCTCTGTCACCCAAACTGCGGCCACTGAGACTCTGCAGAGCCAGTTTGGTGTAGTGGTTAAGAGCGCGGACTCTAATCTGGGAGAACCGGGTTTGATTCCCCACTCTTCCACATGCAGCTGCTGGTGTGACCTTGGGTCAGTCATAAGTTCTTTCAGAGCTGTTCTCTCAAGGACAGTTCTCCAGAGAGCTCTCTCAGCCCCACCTACCTCACAGGGTGCCTGTTGTGAGGAGGGGAAGGGAAGGGGATTGTAAACTGCTCTGAGATTCTTTCGGATAGAGCCGGGTATGAATCCAGTCTCCTCTCCTCTTCTTCTTCTGAGCCAGTCAATCAAGGACCTGAAGATTAAACTGGCAAATGATGGCAGTTCGGCCCTAGAGCAGAAGATCTGAAGGGACAGGGCATGATGCCAACCTCCAGATCAGACCTGGAGATCTCCCAGAATTATAACTGATCTCCAGATGACAGGGATTAGCTCACCTGGAGAAAATGGCTGCTTTGTAAGGTAGATTCTATGGCCTTCTATCCTGCTGAGAGCCCTCCTCAAGCTCCACTCCCCAAATCTCCAGGGATTTCCCAACCTGGAACTGGCAACTCTAAAGCAGAAAGACTCTTTAAATTCATAACCGTCCACAGAGTAGAGTTTTAGAGAACCTGAAAAATAATTGTGCTGCATTATGTCAGTGGATCTTAATAAAAGACACGGTACGGCTTTTCTTTTATGACAGTGACGCTACTGTTACAAACCTGGCCCTGTCTGTAGACTCCTCTCTTGGACAGACCTTTATTTTCCTGGTCATGTCACTTTTCTGTCACAAGCGTGGGTTGTGATTTGGTACATCTACCTTCCCCAACTTCAGGAGGTATTCCCTCGTGTTTCCACAATCATAGCCTGTTCTTGTGACAAACCAGCCCTTTTGGGCCCTCAGGAAAACACAGCAGGCTCCTCACCAATGGAAAGTCACATCTAACGGGCACCGTGTGCGGGATAATCCCTCTGAGAAGGCCGCAAATGTTATTTTTCTGCCTTTATTTACGCACAAAGCCCACTCTTTTTTTAAAAAAAACCAAGCAACTCTTAGCCACAATGTCCTTTTAATAAAAGTTAATTTCCCTTCCTCAGACTTAGCTGGTGTGTTGTTAGCTGATAAGGAACATCAGTTCCATCACAGAGTTTGCAGCCGTAGGGTGTGCGTGAGGATAGGGTATGAGGGAGAGAGCTTTACCATAAATATATTTCTCATCAAATGACCGTGACATCCACCCAGGAACAAACTGTCTTAAGAAAAAAGACAACGAAGAATGTAATAGAGCCATTTAAAACTATGGGCAATATAGAGATTAAACATCAATTCTTCTCTCCCATGCTTTAAAACTCAGGGTCACTCACACATTTAATCTTTAGCAGAGTTAACAGCCTTTTAAACCTATTGACTTCAAGACACTTTAGGTGTAATCTCTGTTTAGGATGGGATTCTCAGGTGCATTAAACTGGCGGTAAATTGATCTCCCTTGCACATTTTTATCCTGTCCTCCCTCCAAGAAGAAGGTTCTCTCCTTTATTATATCCTCCCAACAAACCTGTGAAGGAGGTGAAGCTGAGGAAGAGCTACTGGCCTACAGTCTCCTGCAGAGCTTCATAAGAGAATGGGGATTATTTGAACCCAGATCTTCCTGAGCATGGGGTAGTGTTGAAACCTCTCCCTCTTTGAACTGTGAGGGAGACTGAGAAAACCGGCGCCGGGATGTTCACTTGAGGATTTATTTGAAGGATATTTGGATACATTTCAGAATCCACTTCGACCCCTAGTCTGCGCCAACACTGCAAGAGGAGAGCCAACATAAATCAGGCAAAACTTCCTCAGACTAATCTGCTGCTCTCTGGTCACTCTCTGTTAATCCACGGGGTGTGGATGCCAAGAGCTGACATTGGGGCTGCCTTGGAAAATAAGCGCCAGCTTGTAGTCTGCGGCTAAACACGTGGGGCTCCTGGAAGGTCTGACGCATGGGAACAGAACTGGCAAAACACACTGGTTCTCATTGCTTGGTAATGGCGCTTGTGAGACTGGCTCACAAGGATGTACAGAACTTGGAAAAATTGGACACGTGCGTTTGTGAGTGGACATGACAGACAGGAGGCATGATTAAGGCCTACGCTAGGGCTACTAAGCTCCAGGTGGCACTAGGGTTGCCAGGTCCCCCCGGCCATTGGCAGAGGATGGGAGGTAGGGTTACCAGATTTAGGTTGGGAAGTTCCTGGAGACTTGGGGATGGAACCGGGGGAGGACAGGGACCTCTGTGGGGTACAATGTCACAGATTCCACCCTCCAAAGCATCCATTTTCTCCAGGGGAACTGCTCTCTGTATTCTGAAGACGAGCCGTAATCCCGGGGATCCTCATGTCCCACCTGGAGGCTGGCATCCCTAGGTGGCACCTAGAGATCTCCCGCTATTACAGTTGATCTCCAGATGACTCAGATCAGTTCCCTTGGAGAGAATGGCTGCGTTAGAGGGTGGACTTTGTGGCATTATGCCCTGCTGAGGTCCCTTCCCTCCTCAGACCCCACCCTCCCCAGGCCCGTAGTCAGGATTTTGTAATTCAGGGGGCCTTTAAATAAGTCGGGGGGGCACTGATGTCACAAAAATAAAAATAGTAAAAATTTGTTGGAGCAGGTAGGAGCAGTTGGAGCTCCAGTTGGAACACCTACCCACAACTACTAGAAAAACTTTGCAAGCTGTGCTTGGGGAAGGTGGTAGGCCCGGGCTAGATGAAAGTCAGGGGGCCTTGTTAGGAAGTCGGGGTGCTGGGCCCCAAAATGCCCCACTGTAGCTATGACCTGCACCCCCCAGGCTCCATCCCCCAAACCTCCAAGTATTTCCCAATCCAGAGCCCTGCACAACCAGCTCATCCTAATTCACCTTTTCCTGCAGTTGGGGTGCTGCATCTCTCTGCCCTTTGCCTCCTAAATTGTTTCGAACTGCTCTTCCGGATCTGGCCTAGGAGTCCCCAGAGCTTGAGTCTCCTTCCAAAAATTGTATGCAACAATGGGTTGGATCCAAAGGTGCCCTTCTGCTCATGGAAAGCCTCGCTCTCTCTTTTGGGCAACCCATCTACAGTGAGAAAAACAAAAACGCTGTCCATACATTTCCAGAAGAGAAACAAAAACAGGATATCCTCAGCTGCAAAACAGAGCTTTATGTTTTGTTTTTTCACCTCCCGTCTTTTTGGCCTTCCTTCCTTTTGCTAGAAACTCAGTTTGCTCAGTTTATATTCCGGCTGGACTCTCATAGCAACCGTTTTCCATCATAGCTGGCACCCTCCTCTTTTCTTCCATCCTGCCCGCTTCGGCCTCCTCCTTAACCTGACCATGAGATGGAAGAACAGTCCAGAGCAGGTTTTAGATGAAATTACAGACACCATCTGGAGACTGTGAAATTAGGACTAATTGATTTGTTGATTTTAATCTGTATTTTTGTATGTTTTAATCTGTTGTAAATCGCCCAGAGGTCTGTGTACTCAGGGATGGGGCAATTCAGAAATAATAATAGTAGTAGTAGTAGTCAGGGTTCTCTCTGAGTTAGTGTGACCTAGCTCAGTTTTTTAGCCTCCGGCTCACAGATTTTTGTCTTAGCTCAGGAAGGATGGCTCCAGAGAAAACTGATTTATGCAGTAGCCAAATCACCTGCACACAACTTTAATGCCAGTAGCTCACAACTTTAATGCCAGTAGCTCACAAAGTAGAATTTTTGCTCACAAGACTACACAGCTCAGAGGGAGCATTGGTAGTAGTAATCCCCACCACCCCAGTTCCAAAATGAAAGGGGAGTTTTTCAGGGCAGCAAAAGTTGTCCCATATGTAAACCCACCCCCCCAGCATTTCAAATGTGCGTTTTGCCAGACGTACGAAACCTCATTGTTTGAAACCTCATGGCAGTGTTCCCTCAAAGCTGAGTTAGTGTGAGCTAGCTTACAGTTTTTTAGCCTCCGGCTCATGCATTTTTGTCTTAGCTCAGGAAGGATGGCTCCAGAGCAAACTAATTTATGCAGTAGCCAAATCGCTCGCTCACAGCTTCAATGCCAGTAGCTCACAAAGTAGAATTTTTGCTCACAAGACTCTACAGCTTAGAGGGAGCATTGCTCATGGTGCCAAACACCAGAGCAGGGGAGGGAAAGGGCTGGCTAAGTGTCAGCAAGCTGCCATAAGGTGTTATTTTCTGTATGTTACATTGTGCCCTGTCCCTCCCCCCTGTTTTCCCTGTGTAGGTGTTTACTGTCTCTTGCTTGCTACATCTGCGGAACTGCTCAAGGTCAACCAGCTGGAGGTGGGATGGAGTTATGGCGTTGCTTAGCTTATTAGGTATTTCGTGCCTGAGAACTGAACTTGTGTTTATGTTGCAGAACCATTGTGTTCCCAAGGAATTGGGCGCTTGTTTTATCTGCCTTCCCACCAGCGGGAATTGGACTCATTGGTCCCAACCTGGTTCAAAGTTCCTTTATTATGTTTCCCCATGAGACTTGTAGTTATTCCTAACAATGCTTGTGTTCTGATCTAATCATCGCTTTATAATAAACTCTACTTTGTTCTTCAAACGTGGATTTATTCGAATGCATGGGGAATCGGACATTAAGGAGGAAGAAGTTGGGGGCGTGGGCTTCTCTTCCTCCTCTGTTCCAATCCACGTATGCAGGCTGAGTGGGGCCAAAGGCTCCTCCAGGAGGGGAGGGAGGCTGGGAAGGTCTTTGCAAGCTGAATGAGACATCACTGGCTGGGCTTTGGTTCCTCCTCTGTTACAGGCATGGAGCCTAGGCAGGGCTAAAGGTTTGGCACAAGGCAAAAGGGGCCTTCTTGGCCCACAGCTTATTGCCCACAGCCCTGAATGAGCCAAAGTAGCGAAGCTGGCACCAGTCCTGGATGCTGAAGCACGGTACCATCGATGCCTTTGTCTTTTTGTTTAAATTAGAATGTTGCATTTATTTCACAATCTGCTTTGAGTTCACAGATGTGGGAGACAGGTGGTATAAAAGCTTCAATATACATTCTGAGGCACGGCAAAAGAATGACACACATGCTCAGAGGCATGCACAATTTATTTTTGCAATTATTTTATTGTCTGGAACCTTTCCCACCAGGAGCTCAGGAGCGTGTGTGAGGCTCCCCTGTTTCTCTTCATGGCCGCCCTGAACAAAATGATGCCCTGAGCGATGCCTACTGATCCAGTGAGCTACATGGAAAAACAGGAATCTGAACGCGGATCTCCAGGGTCCAAGTACAGTACTCCGTTTACTGGAGCTCCACCGGCTCTTATTCTATACGTTCTAGGGATGAAATGTCGCTCAAAGTAACAGCAGCAGCAGCAGCAGCAGCAGCAGCAGCAGCAGCAGCAGCAGCAGCAGCAGCAGCAGCAGCAGGAGGAGGAGGAGGAGGAGGAG